TTAAAGCAGGAGCCCGCTCTCTTGTCCCTTTTGATTCCGTATCCTTGCAATCTGTGCCTGCAGATTTCTGCGGTGGGAGAAGGGCAATGCCCTGCTGTAGCCCAGACATCACGTTATCAGCATTGCTAGAAGAAGTGGGACCCAAGAACAAAGATCTGTAAACATTCCAACAAGTACCTCTAACAGGATTGCCTGTCAAAGCCCTGTGGGTGCAGCCATGAGCTCAGAATGTCCCTCAGTAGCGATACTCGGGACCATTTGCACCCTGTTCTCTAGTGCCAAGTTAATTTTGTTATAAACCTAATATGCTTACTGTGCCTGAATATTTATTAAAACTGAAATCTCACAAAGCATGTGTTTGTTGTCCCATGACATTGATTCCCTCAGACTGTGGTCTTGGAAGGGAGGCCATAGCCCACTTTGAGGAGCAGGGCCCTGCACAGTGCTGGAAGTCCATTCAGACATTTAGTTCTTGATAATTTTTTTTTTTTTTTTTTTTTGCCAAGCCAGTCCCTGCTCTTAGGAGCACCGTTCGCACAAGGCAACAAAATACCCGAACACAGCATTCTTTGATCTGCCTACTTAGGTAGGAGGGCACATTTATCAAGCAACTTTTCTGTATTTCAATGCATGATTACAGTTTTTAATTATTTGAGGAACTATAGCCTGGTTATCAAATAATTCTTTTAGACATACACAAAATTTTCTCATACCCAAACAATTAGGAGGCAGCTGTGAGACTTGGCAGTCGGCACTGGTGCTGAGCATCTCATGAACTTCTGTTATTTATGGGGAAGCTCGACCAGCCTCCTGCGTGCCTGTGTGTGTTTTAATTACAGAGCATAGAAAGGACTGGTCTTAGCCCCTCCCCGCAAGAGATAGCCATGACCCATTCCCTGGAAGAGTGTGGGGAGTTAAAGACAGTTCATGTCCCCTGTCCCCTTCCGGATGGTAGCTCCCTTCTGTGAAAGGCAACACAAGCCTGGCAGAGGGGAGGTAAACCCAGCTTCCTGCCCCCAGAGCTGGCACTGTGAACGGAAGGGGTTTTGAGACTCCTTGCAGCCAGGCTTGTGCGCGTTCTGAGAGTCATTGCCAGGCACTGGGGCCTTCTCTCCAGCTTACCTGCAGGTATTTTCAAGAGCCCAGTGATCGAGACCAGTGCTCTTTCTGCAGAGAGTGGGGAGTGTGACAAATCTGTGTGACTGGACCCCCAGCCTAAATACACTCTCCTCATTGCTGCTGAACACTTCTGTTTTCACTTGTTGGCACCTAGTCCTCCCTTTTGGGGTTTCTGTGATTTTATTTCCTGTTTGATGGTATAAAGGACTTTTTCATCTTGTAGTTCTGTGGGAACTTGCCTGGCTTGGGTGAGTGGAAGAGACACACTGTCCCTTGGGGACTTAGAGTACCTGACCCACAGGAGGGAAGTCAGGAAGCATCTCTCTGGTGCTCAGGAGTTACAGAGGAAACATTTAGGTGACACATGTTGGCGGCCTCCTTCAAAGCAGGGGGCAGCTTCTACAAGGAACGTGAAGGTTTAAAATTTGATGTTCACGTTTGAATGCTCACATGGTTTGCATATTTAACACTTACTTCATTGAACTAGGCTCTGCTTTGTCTGCTGTTTTGTTAATATTTTACTTTCATAAAAGAAGGCCAGGCATGGTGGTACAGGTCTTTCATCCTAGCACTGGGTGGCAGAGGCTTCCGGATCTCTATGAGTTCAAGGCCAGCCTGGTCTATATAGTGATTTCCTCAGGCAAGCCAGAGTTACATGGTGAGACGACCCCTGCCCGCAACAAAACAACAACAACACAGAAACCTTAGAGACAAAAGTAAAAAACCCACCACGCACACATGTCTTCACTTGAAGTGTTTAGCTCTGTGTGTCTTAAGGGCACCACTGTAGCCGTAATGTTAGGGCTAAAGACACAGCATTTCAAAATATGATTGACTATTCTACCCACAGTGCACCCGTTTGGTGTGGGTTTCAGCTGGTTATCCTGAGAAATCACAGACAGGGTTGGCTCTGAAAAGGAATTCGCATCTAGAAGGGAAAGAAAACTGTGTTAATAACTACCTGTATCAAGAAGAGGGATGCCCTGAGTGATTTTATGCCTGGAAAGGCCACAGGACCAGACAACCTTTCTTCACTGTGCATTTGCTGCCTACCTTCCCATAACATGTCGTTACCCCACCCCAAGCCCCTGGGCTCCACAGCTCAGGGTGCTCTATGGGGTCTGGCATCTGCTCCTTCTCTGATTCTTCTCTTGGTCTGAGACTCTCATGACTGTGCATAATTAAGCACGGTTCCGCTCCTCTTCATCTGTCTTGTCAGTTTAATTCAGAGGCTCGGCAAAGAACAAGGAAGGCAAAGGAAATCCATCTTCCGCCCTTCCACTCGGATAATGGATTCCACCTCCGCACACTGTTGCTCCCATGTGGCAATCTTCAGAGTGAGTCTTCGCGTATCTCTGCCAACACGCTGCCTGGAAGAAAACGAAGACCCAGTGTTTCGTATCCAGGGACCAGTCCCAGCACTCCTGAGAAGGTAGCACACTCCCACTGAAGTCCAGCCTAGCTGATGGTTTCAAACAGAGCCGTTCAGGGGATTGCTTCATAGACTGCGTGAACT